TCACAGTCGTGTCATCCAAGTTACCACCATACTCGGCTTAGTGCTCCTGCAGCTCAAACCCAGACCACAAATCTCCAGTATCCTATCAAATGAGATAAATTATAGAGTTCAGGCATTTCCGGCCCGATACTTCCAATCTCATACAGTCCAACTGAATGGAAAACTAAAACTGCTCATACTATCATGTTCTTCAATGTATGGAACAACGAAGCTATTAAGATTTCAAGGTACAGTACTTACTGTCTCTTGGCAACAGAACTCAGTACGTCTCATATTGATAAACTAATAGGGTCTAATCTATGGCTTCAAACGAACTAAAAGCTCACTACTTGATATATAGATGGCCGATTTCTACATCCTCATAGGTACGTCCCCACTTGCAATCTACTGTGCGCCTTCCACTGGTCCTCATGGGGCAACAGGTATTGTGTGCTTTAATTCCTGATATAGACCTTGAAGAAAGTGAGTGCATCTCCAACTGGCAGCACACTGATGCCGATCAGTAGTTATTAGTATCATGCCATTAAGAAAGGTAGTGAACAGCAGCGAAACCGGGCTGATCAATTAGCCAGGTAGCACTTTCCCCATTGAAGATCCATACTATGTATACCGCTATCTCTTCAATCAAATGAAAAAACGAGTTATCCAACTGTCTTAAGATTTAGGATCAGGTATGGCCAATGAAAAAATGAAAAAAGACGAGAGTTTGTTTGGGACATCAATTTAGACAAGCCCTAAAAGTCTATTACGGACTGTCTCCGGAGACAACAGGTTACATTAACTATGCTACGCAGAGGATATCAGTACACATACCAATATGTACAGGATGCAGTTTAGATGCAAAACCTTTTTAATATCACCATTGCAAACTGTGCAAGGACCCAAGTCGCATAATCTCACTCATTACGTTACTCTGCTGCATAAAGACTGCATCCTATCGATCAAATAGTACTGTTTCACAGAAAAGCGCTTGTAGATTTATTACTTTATTATAGACACTGGTCTTGTCTTTGACATGATTAGTGATGTAAAAGGTTTTTTACCAGTCAGATGATATTTTAATATTGTGATAATAGAACAGCCCTTCAGGCATGTATGTAACACTAATATTTGACCAATGCCCTCTACACAATAGAAGCACAGCCAGTTTGGATAGATGCTTTGGTATCTTACCCTGGCTTTTTGCAGGGCATGTACACTATTCTGTAAATAAATGTTATCAAATCAAATCAAATCAATCTCTCTCTCCCTCCCTCTCTCCCTCCCTCCCTCTCTCTTCTTTCTCTCTCTCTTCTCTTTCTTTTCTCTCGTTCTCTTGCTTTCTCTTTCCCTCCCCCCTCTCTCTCTATCCTTCTTTCTCCTCCTCTCCCCCTTCCCCTCCTTCCCTCTCCCTATCCCTCTCCTTCTCTCTATCCCTCTCTCCCTCCCTCCTTCTCTCCCTCTCTCTCTCTCCCTTTCATCCCTCTCTCCTTCTCTCTATCCCTCTTTCCTCCCTTCTCTCTCATCTCTTACCTGGCAGAAGTTTTCTCTCACATCTCTCTCTCCTCTCTCTCTCTCTCTCTATCCCTCTACTCCCTTTCTCGCTCTCTCTCTCTCTCATTCCCTCTCTCTCTTCCTCTCTCTCTCTCTCGTTCTCTTCTCTCTCTCTCTCTTTAATTCCTCCTCTCTCTCTCTCTCTCTTGTCTAGCAATCTCTCTCTCTCTCCTCCCTCTCTTGTCTAGTCAATCTCTCTCTCTCCCTCTCATCTCCCTCTCTCTCTCTCTCTCATCACTCTCTCTCCTCAGTCGTCTCCTCTCTCTCATCTCTCCCTCTCTCACTCGTCTAGTCAATCTCTCTCTCTCTCTCGATCTCATCCCTCTCTCACTCGTCTACAATCTCTCTCTCTCTCTCTCTCTCTCTCTCTCTCTCGTTCTCTTCTCTCTCTCTCTTTTTTCTCTCTCTCTCTCTCTTCCCTCTCTTATTTCTCCTCTCCCTCTCCTCACACTCGTCTAGCAATCTCTCTCTCTCTCTCTCTCTCTCTCTCTCGTCTAGCAATCTCTCTCTCTCTCTCCTCTCTCTCACTCTTCTCCTCCTCTCTCTCCTCTCTCTCTCTCTCTCTCTCGTCTGCAATCTATCTCTCTCTCTCTCCGATCTCTCTCTCAATCGTCATCGTCTCTCTCTCTCGCTCTCTCTCTCTCTCTCTCGCTCTCGTCTAGCAATCTCGTCTCTCTCTCTCTTTCTCATCGTCTATCAATCTCTCTCTCTCTCTCTCTTTCTCGTCATCTCCGATCTTCTCTCGTCCTCTCTCTCCTCGCTCGTCTCTCTCTCTCTCTCTCTCTCTCTCTCTCTCCCTCTCTCCCTCTCTATTTCTCTCTCATCTCATCTCTCTCCTCCTCTTCTCTCTCTCTCTCTCTCTCCTCTCTCTCTCTCTCTCTCTCTCTCCTCTCTTCTCTCTCTCTCTCTCTCTCTCGTCTAGCCATCTTGCTGACCTGCGTTCGAATCCCTCGCCACCAGTGGACGGTAACCCCGGCCATTCCTTGCACACAGGGGATAATTTAGAAGCAAAATACAACAGACAGACCATTGTAAACAGAAAAATTAAACAGACCATTGTAACAAATAAAAAAAAACAGACTATTGTAACAAATAAAACAGACCATTGTAACAAAAAATAAAAACAGACAAATAACAAAAACAGTAAAACAATAAAAACAGACAAATAACAAAAACAGTAAAACAATAAAAACAGACAAATAACAAAAACAGTAAAACAATAAAAACAGACCATTGTAACAAATGGAATCAAACTAAATTAAATTAAATTAGAATCAAATTACCTGGCAGAGGTTGTCCCAGGTTGTATGGGTAGACGAAAGCTGGGTCGTCCTCCTCTCTCTCTCTCTCTCTCTCTCTCTCTCTCTCTCTCTCTCTCTCTCTCTCTCTTCTCTCTCTCTCTCATCTCTCTCTCTCTCTCCCTCTCTCACTTTCTCTTTATTCCCTCTCTCTCTCTCTCTCTCTCCTCTCTCTATCCTCTCTCCCCCTCTCTCTCTCTCTCTCTCTCTCTCTCTCTCTCTCTCTCTCTCTCTCTCTCTCTCTCTCTCTCTCCCTCCTTCTCTCTATCCCTCTCTCTCTCTCTCTCTCTCTCTCCTTCTCTCTCTCACTTTCTCTCTATCCCTCTCTCTCTATCCCACTCTCTCTCTCTCTCACTCTCTCTCTCTCTCTCCTCTCTCTCTCTCTCTCTCTCTCTCTCTCTCCTCTCTCTCTCTCTCTCTATCCCTCTTTCTCTCTCTCTATCCCTTCCCCTCCTTCCCTCTCCCTATCCCTCTCCTTCTCTACTTTCCCTCTCCCTCTCTCTCCTTCTCTCTATCCCTCTCTCACCTGACAGAAGTTCTGCTACCTGCCGAGATCGTAAGGATAGACGAAAGCCGGGTCGTCCTCCTCTCCTTCTCTCTCTCTCTCTCTCTCTCTCTCTTCCTATCCCTCTCTCTCTCCTCTCTTTCTCTATCCCTCTCTCTCTCCTTTTCTCACCTTCTCTCTCTCTCTCTCTCTCTCCCTCTCTCTTTCTCTCCTTCTCTCACCTGGCAAAAGTTCTGCCACCTGCCGAGATCGTAAGGATAGACGAAAGCCAGGTCGTCCTCCTCTCCTTCTCTCTCTCCTTCTCTCTCTCTCCTTCCTCTCTCTCTCTCTCTATCCCTCTCTTCCCTCTCTCTCTCTATCCCTCTCCTCCCTCTCTCACCTGACAAAAGTTCTGCCACCTGCCGAATCGTAAGGATAGACGAAAGCCGGGTCGTCCTCCTCTCCTTCTCTCTCTCTCTCTCTCTTCTCTCTCTCTCTCTATCCCTCTCTCTCTCCTCTCTTTCTCTATCCCTCTCTCTCTCCTTCTCTCTCCTCTCCTCTCTCTTCTCTCTCTCTCTTCCCTCTCTCCTCTCTATCCCTCTCTCACCTGGCAAAAGTTCTGCCACCTGCCGAGATCGTAAGGATAGACAAAGCCGGGTCGTCTTCCTCTCCTCTCTCTCCTCTCCTTCTCTCTCTCCTTCCCTCTCTCTCTCTCTCTATCCCTCTCTTCCCTCTCTCTCTCTCTATCCCTCTCCTCCCTCTCTCACCTGACAAAAGTTCTGCCACCTGCCGAGATCGTAAGGATAGACGAAAGCCGGGTCGTCCTCCTCTCCTTCTCTCTCTCCTCTCTCTCTCTCCCTATCCCTCTCTCTCTCCTTCCCTCTCCCTATCCCTCTATCCCTCTCTCCCTATCCCTCTCTTCCCTCTCTCACCTGACAGAAGTTCTGCTACCTGTCGAGATCGTAAGGATAGATGAAAGCCGGGTCGTCCTCCTCTCTCTCTCTCTCTCTCATCTCTCTCTCCTTCCTCTCTCTCTCTCCTCTCTCTCTCTCTCCTCCTTCCTCTCTCTCCTCTCTCTCTATCCCTCTCCTCCCTCTCTCTCTCCTTCTCTCTCTCCTTCCCTCTCTCTCTCTCTATCCCTTCCCCTCCTTCCCTCTCTCTCTCTCTCTCCTTCCCTCTCTCTCTCTCTCTATCCCTCTCTCCCTATCCCTCTATCCCTCTCTCACCTGGCAAAAGTTCTGCCACCTGCCGAGATCGTAAGGATAGATGAAAGCCGGGTCGTCCTCCTCTCCTTCTCTCTCTCTCTCTCTCTCTCTCTATCCCTCTCTCACTCTCTCTCTCTCTCCCTATCCCTCTCTCTCACCTTCTCTCTCTCCTTCCCTCTCTCTCTTCTCTCTCTCTCTCATCTCTCTCTCTCTCTCCCTATCCCTCTCTCTCCCCTATCCCTCTATCCCTCTCTCACCTGGCAAAAGTTCTGCCACCTGCCGAGATCGTAAGGATAGACGAAAGCCGGGTCGTCCTCCTCTCCTTCTCTCTCTCTCTCTCTCTCTCTCTCTCTCTCTCTCTCTCTCTCTCTCTCCCTATCCCTCTCTCTCACCTTCTCTCTCTCCTTCCCTCTCTCTCTCTCTCTCCTTCCCTCTCTCTCTCTCTATCCCTCTCTCCCTATCCCTCTATCCCTCTCTCACCTGGCAAAAGTTCTGCCACCTGCCGAGATCGTAAGGATAGACGAAAGCCGGGTCGTCCTCCTCTCCTTCGGGGTTCTTTCTCCGGTGGACGGCTTTTTCTAAGATCCAGTCCTCTATCCCCGTGCGGTTGCGGAGGATGGCGCGCACCTGGGGGGGGATGGATAGATTGGTTGATAGATAGATATATAATTAAGTAGATAGATAGGTGGATAGACAGAGGAAGGAGAGAGGGAAAAAGGGAGAAAGGGAGACAGAAGGAGAGAGGAAAGAAGGAAGGAGAGAAGAGAGGGAGGGAGGGGGAGAGGGAGAGGGGAAGAGGAAGGATGAATGGGTGGATGGATAGATAGATAAATCGATAGATATATTGAGGTACATATATACATATACATTTATATTTATACATACAAATACACATACACAAACACATACATACACATAGCTACAAATACATACATACACACACCCAGTCAACTCTCTCTCTCTCTTTCTCTCTCTCTTCCTCTCTCTCTCCCTCCTTCTCTTTCTCTCTCTCTCTCTTTCTCTCTCTCACTTTCTCTCTTTCTCTCTCTCTCCCTCCCTCTCCTTCTCTCTCTCATCTCTTTCTCTCTCCCTCCCTCTCTCTTTCTCCTCTCTCTTTCTCTCTCTCTCCCTCTCTCTTTCTCTCTCTCTTTCTCTCTCTCTCGTCCTTTCTCCTCTCTCCGTCACTTTCTCGGTTCTTTCTCTCTCTCCTCTCCATCTCCTCCCTCTCCCCTCCTTCTCTTTCTCTCTCTCTCCCTCATTCTCTTTCTCTCTCTCACAAACAAACAAAGACACTGACACAACCATACATACATATAGAGATACAAACATACACAGACACACACACACCCAATCGACTCTCTCTCTCTCTCTCTCTCTCTCTCTCTCTCTCTCTTCTCTCATCTCTCTCACTCTCTCTCTCTTTTCTCTCCCTCTCTCAAAACACAAACAAATGCAAAGATACTCTCTCCCTCCCCTCCTCGCTCATCATAAACAAACAAACACACAAACAACGCCTCTGCCTCTCTCTCTCTCTCCTCTCTCTCTTCCTCTCTCTCCCTCTCTCTCACAAACCAACAAAACAAACCTCTTCTCTCTCCCTCTCCCTCTCTCACAAACAAAACAAACGACAAACAATGCAAACAAAACCCAAAGCAAACCTATCACTCCCGCGCCCCTTTCCAAACAACACAAACAAAATCAAACACAACAAAAACAAACCTCTTTCTCTCTCCCTCTCCCTCTCTCACAAACAAACAAACACAAACAAATGCAAACAAAACCCAAAGCAAACCTCTCACTCCCTCCCCCTTTCACAAACAAACACAAACAAAATGCAAACAAAACAAAAACAAACCTCTTTCTCTCACAAACAAACACAAACCCTCTCTCTCTTTCTCTCACAAACAAACCCCAAACAAACCCTCTCTCTCTCTCACAAACAAACAAACACAAACAAACACAAACCCTCTCTTTCTCTCACAACAACAAACCCCAAACAAACCCCAAACAACCCTCTCTCTCTCTCACAACAAACAATACAAACAAACCCCAAACCATCACTCTCTCTCTCACAAACACAAACAAATGCAAACAAACCTCTTTCTCCCTCTCTCTCTCTCACAAACAAACAAACACAAACAAACCCAAACCATGCACTCTCTTCTCTCACAAATAAACACATAACATCAAACAAACCTCTTTCTCTCTCCTTCTCTCTCTCTCTCTCACAAACAACAACCCCAAACAACCTCACTCTCTCTCTCACAAACAAACACAAACACAAACAAAACGCAAACAAACCTCTTCTCTCTCCCTCATCTCTCTCTATCACACAAACAAAACGCGAACAAAACAAAAAACAAACATTTCTCTCATCCCTCTCTTCTCTCTCTCTCCACAAACAACAAACAAAATCGCAAACGAACCGCTCTTTCTCTCTCTCTGTCTCTCACAAACAAAACGCAAACAAAACAAAAACAAACCTGGACGAACAGAGCATCCCCGCCGGCCAGGACGAACACCAATGGCCAACCCGAGGACGAACATGCCAAGCCACATGGCCCACTGACTGAGGTACTACCCATGGTTCGCGTCCCGTCCCGTAGTAGAGTACCACTTCTGAGAAGGAAGAAGAGGAGGATGAGAAAGAGGAAGAGGAGAAAGAGGAGATAGGAGGATGAGAAAGAAGTGAAAGGAGGAAGTAGGAGAAAGAGAGAGGAGAAGAGGAAGTGAGAAAGAGGAGAGAGGAGAAGAGGACGAAGAGGACGACCATTCAGGCCACGATGGCCCACTGACTGAGGTACACCAGTGTTCGCGTCCCGTCCTGTAGTAAGG